GGGTCTTTGAGAAAGAGCATCGGTGGGTGGTGGGGGTCAGCAGGGGCAAACAAAGTGTCTGAATGAGGGCTGGTGAGTTTCGAGATTGGAAGGAAGTAGGCAGGTTCAGGGATGAGAGATCATGCTCATGACCTTGGGCACTTCTGTCTTCATGTGCCCCTTCCTCCCCTCCTATCTTTCCCCCCACCGTAGGATTTAGAGAAGATCCCCACCAGTTTCCCACTAATCCCATCCCCAGTGTCTGCTGCTGATTAGTGTGGGTCGGGATGTCCTGGGGGCTGGGTGAGTTTAGATTGACTTGTGTCAAATTTCCTATCTCCCCTGAAAAGGTGAGGCTGCAACCCCAGAGTTTATCGAATGCTTTGCACCTAACAGACTGAACATGGGCTGTTGGGTCTGGGGGTGGCTTTGTATAAGGTAGCATCAGGAGCCGGGGATCCATCCTGGTGTCGGAGTTAGACTTGCAAAGTGTCTTGTGGTTTTGCCTGCCTCTTCCTGAGGGGTTTTCTAGCATTCGCAGGTCATCTAGTTAGGTCCCAAGTGTTGCAGGAGCTAAAATCGGAGCTAAAATTATCCAGCTCTTTACCCTGCAGTCAAGAGCCCTATATGACATTCGAGGTTGGTCCTGGGGTAAGTCCATGGCTGTGGCAGAGAAAGGCAGGGCCAGCCAACGTGTGTCCCCGGGATGGGCGGAGAGGGGGCTGGAGCGCAAGGAGACCCCAATCTGGTGGCCCCAGTTGGTGGACGGGCTGGCTGCAGAGTAGCAGCCCCGGCCCCTGTCCTCAGTAACTCTAGAAACCTCGGGAGTGATCCCAGCCCCGAGGCGATGTGTGTGCACAGCGGGAAAGAACAAAACGCCACCCAGACAATCCTTCCTTTTGTGAGTGAAGGTTACAGGTTTTCTGTTTCACATCTGATGGTATTGTTTCTCCCCTTTTTCTCTTTCTCTCTGTTTTCATTTGCCAAGCGAAGGGTCTAGAGTGATTTCTTTGAGCCTAATGATGGGGAAACTGAGAACGGGGCTATTATCTTGAAATGCCTTTTGAAATACTGCTCTTCCTGGTGTCTGAACTGGGTTGAACAGAGGTCGGATTTAAAGATTAAATATTTTAGCAGGAACAGCAACTATGCCGATAACTGCGCGCATCTTCTCAGGAATTATGTGGTCGGTGCGGGGAGCCCGGCTCTCTAGAAACCCACATAAAGGAGCAAGACTCATAAAAGCACAGCTGATATGTACCGAGTGCATGATAGGGGTCGGGCACGGAGCCAGACGTCCCCCTCTGTGTTACCCTGTTTAACGAATTTAGACACCATAAGGTCGGAACACGGAAAACTCACAGATCGTCTAATAGTGACCGCCTTTGAGTAAAAGACTCAGTAAACACAGAGCAACTCAGAACCGTGGCGACAGATCATTTTGTAATAAAGGTCCCTTGTAAATTTCAGTTTGTTATAACTTGGAGAAGAATCGCTATCCAGTGTGATACCCGCCTGCATCTCAGTCTGCTCTAGGCCTGGTCGTTAGGCGGTGACCCGTGTGTCCTGAAAGCAGCCTTCAGGTGCCGTGGCCCGGCCGCCGTGGGGAATGGATTTCCCCTTCACTCGGGATCAGTGTGGCCCTGCTCTGTGCTGGACAACCAACAGCCATTCAGCCCTGCGCTGGGAGGCCGTCTGACCTTGAGACCCCTCCTTCCACGTTTTAAGTTGGAAGATGAGTTTCACTTTCTTGTCTCCTGAGGTAACTCTTTCCTTCTTCCTCCAGGCGGGATCGGAGGTTCGTCGCCAACCCGGGCAGGTGCTTCGGACCCAGAAAGGACAGGACGAAGGTGAAATGGCACGCAAGGTAATCAGGGCACAGCCGCTCCCCTGCCGCTCTCCTTGCTCTGGGGGTCATGTTCTCTCTGCAGCAGGACCCCTCACCCCGACATCCCTAACGCACCCGCGTGCAGCCCAGAGCAGAGGCGGGCAGGCGGGAGCCATCGGGGAAGGTCCGGGGACACAGCTCAATAAGTACTAATGGTCATCACGACCGCTTCAAGCTTTTACTTAGATGAACTCGTTGTCACCTCTCACAACCCTAGCAGGTCAGTCATGCTATACCTGATCCACAGATGAGAAAACCAAGGCACAGTCACCGGCCCAAGGTCTCATGGTTTAGTGAGGGAGCCGGGACTCAAAGCCAGAGCCCGGCCCAGCGCCGTGTTCGCTCTCCATTCCAAGTGACAGTGCGTGTTCCTGCTGCCCGCCACCTGGTACTTTATGCACAGGGTCCCAAGCAGGGCACAGAGGGCTTGCGGTGCTCAGGGAGAGCCATCAGGTAGGTGGCTCAAGGTCTGCAGGTCTGGGAACAGAGGGGCATATGGATTGCACCTGCTGACCTCCAGGAGCTCAGAGACTGACCAAGGGACCAAAGGGCATCTCAGGGCTTTCTGGAGCGCTGTGGACTGCTGTCCAGTCCTGATAAACATGATGTGGGCGCGGGGCCACGCCCTGATAGCAAGTGCTGGACTTGCCCGTAGCTGTTGAGACCCCTCCATTCACAGCAGTGGCCCTTCTGGCTGTGAGCCTCGCTCCTGGGTATGCGTCAGTCGGCACAGCCAAGGTAGCTGGCCGCTCAGGACGTGCACATGTTTGACTGGAGGCAGCCAAGTGTCTCTGACTCTCCTGTGGAGCCCGGGAGAGGGGAAGCTGTGCGATGCAAAGCAGGGCTTTAGAACTGGGCAGGTTATGTCGCAGATTTCCACTGTTGGCCCAGCACAGTGGCAAAGAGTGTGGACCTAGAAGCTCTGGGTTCAAATCCTGCTTCCACTGTCTCCTCCCTTGGTGACTGCAGACGGATGGCCTTGACTTTCCATATGGTGTTCCCATCTGTAGAATGGGGATAATAAAGCTAGTCCATGCCGTGTGTGACTTGAGATGAGGGGACACACAGGCTGAAGTGCCCAGCACAGTGCCTGGGATATATTAAGCATACACTAGATATTGGGCTTGTTGCTTTTTCTTAGTCTGGATATGATGTTGGGTAGATTACTAAGCCTCGGTTTTCTCATCTGTAAGATGGTGATGCCAGCACCCTGTGGTCAGGGGAGGTTGTGAATTAAATGAGAGAACCCAAACAGCCTAGATCAGAATAGATGCCTTGTACCTCTCTGGGTTTTCTTCCTCATTTGTCTGATTCCACGTGGATCGATTAGCAGGAAGGTGGCTGGTGGTGGTCAGTCCTCCATCCGTGAGAACACCGAGTCCTAGCAGTGGCTCCACAGTGATTTTCTGATTGACCCTCCTGTTCTCCTGGCCACCGCACTGGTCTTGACTTCTGCAGCACCATCTTGGATACCCACCAGGGCCTCCTGCCTGTGCGATTCCAGCCTTTCTTTCCCAAAGTAATTCTGTGTGTGTTTTCCTAAGCCTCTGTCTCAAACTTGAAATTTGTCAGGTCACTTTCTGCTTAAAAAAAAACAACAACCCACAAAAGCCCTGGCCAGCATGGCTCAGTGGTTAGAGCATCGGCACCAAAGGGTTGCAGGTTCACTCCTGGCCCCCAGTGGGGCGCATGTGGGAGGCAACCAATCGATGTGTCTCTTTCACGTTAATATTTCTCTCTCTCCCTCCCCCCTCCTCTCCACTCTCTCTAAAAATCAATGGGGAAAATATCCTCAGGTGAACATTAACAACAAAATAAAAAACAAAATCGCAGTTCTTTCAGCCCCGCTCACCTACTTGCATCCTACCCCCAAGATGGAATATTTCCGCACCCTGCCTCAGTGCTCACCCCGCACCCCCACTCCATGTTACCATCTGAATGCCTCACTTTCTCACAAATCCCCCAGAACCACAGGGGCCCCACGGCACTGGCCGCTCCTTCGCCGGGGACATCATCTCACCCGTGGGACTTCACCTGCAGTGTAGGGCCTGCCGCCCAGCAGGTGCCTTGAGAGCGGGTGGGGCTGGGACCGGGCCCTGTTATCTGGGACTTGAGTTTCTTTCACTCATCTCCTTCCACGGCCCATCGTAGGGTCCTGTGCAGACTCGGTGCAAGACAGTGGTGTGGGTTCCCCGGGGGGAGGGTGGGCCTGCAGGGGAGAGTCGGTGGCTTAGACGATTCTTACCCTGCTGCCTGGGTTCGGGTGACTGGCAGGCTGTGTGCGTATGGGGGAGGGGAGGTTAATGAGTGACTCCCAGGGGATTTCCAGGGAAGGGTGTGAGCACGGCCTCTGAAAACAGCACCCTGTGCCCCAGCTAGCTCTCCCCTCCCTCCTCAGTGACCCCCAACCTGAACACCATTCTGTAAGGGGCACAGTCAGAATGGCAGTGACTCCCTCATTCATTCATTCATTCATTCATTCATTCATTCATTCATTCATCTGACAGATAGTCACTGCCGGCCTCCCGGGTGCCAGGGCTGTTCTAGGGAGAGAACACAANAGTCACTGCCGGCCTCCTGGGTGCCAGGGCTGTTCTAGGGAGAGAACACAATCTGCTCTTGTGGCCTTGCCTTCCAGTGCGTGTGTGTGTGTGTGTGTTGGGGGCGGGAAGAGTCGATGACAAAGAGCAAAAATAGTGACTAAGGAATGGAAACGGGCAGGAAAGGCAGCTCAGGGGTGCTGGGCAGGCAGTGGAGGGCAGGTGGCAGCACTGAATAGGGTGGACAGCTTACTGAGAAGGTGACACCTGAGCTCAGGCTTGCAGGAGGTGAGTGAGCCCCACGAGGGTTTAGGGGCCGAGCTTTCTGCAGAGGGAGCAGCCCCCTCAAGGCCGCACTGTACCTAGTGTGTTCGAGGACAGGAATGCCGGTGGGGTTGGAGCTCACTGGGGGAGCTGAGAACCCGGGGATAAGGCCTGGACCAGGGAGAGCCTTGGGGAAGTAGTGTGTCAGGCTTTCCCTCCAAGGGAACCAGGAGCCCCCGGATAGCAGGGTTTGAGCGAAGCGTGCTGAGATCCGACTTACTAGGGGCTGATACGATAGCGAGAGGAACGGGGCAGCTGAAAGGGAGGGAGCGTTGGAGGTGCCTGGTCCTCTCCTGTCCACTCACGTGCACAGGACAACAGAAGAACCGTTAGGACGGTGATGGGCCAAAGCTCATGATGACACTCCTCAGGGGCTGGTCTCAGGAGCTCTGACTGCCTCGGTTAGGATAGCTTCTTGCATTGTGACCATGGTTTAATACGAGAGTCCGTCTGCTCTCCTCCTGCCTGCAAAGCCACCAGGGGTCACATAGGCAGACTCCTTGCGCTCTTTTACCTTTGGACCAATGGCCCCAGGATATGGAGTCAGATAGTGGCCTGATGGCTGGGTCCACCCAGCAGTGGTCACCATCAGTGCTGTTACAACCCGACCCACTCGCATTGGTTTCACATACTTCCATTCAAAGGAAGGTCACAGCCACGGCCTTCACGCCCAAAGGCGCCATTCTGCATGAGGTCATCGGAGGAAGGACTATTTTTATGGATGAAAAATCTGACACCCAGGGAAGACACACTCTTTCCTCCGGTCCATCCATCATGTGTGTGGTGGCAGGGGAGAGGTGCTGTGGCTACCATGATGATTGCTGCCCTAACCGTAAGTGAGAGTGAGAGGCCAGCACGGCCCGGGAGAAGAAGGAACCGAGTCCCAGTGCTGAGCCCCAGTGCCGATGACCTCACCCAGGGATGGGAGCAGAGCTGTCCAGAGGACTCGCAGACGGACGTCCCTTCAGGTCCAAATGTGAGTCACCGTGGCTTGTGTCCCTGCAGTGGGCACTGTCCCCAGGCCTCCCACTTCTCCCTGGGACATCATGGTCACTGGTCAGGCATCGTGACTCATTTGGTCTCTTGGGCGAGCCACTAGGGGTGGACTCTCCCTTTTGGCATCTGGACCCTCGGTGCTATCGACGCAGCTCGGCTGGCCCTGAGCTCGGATGTGATGTGCGGGACGTGTGGCAGGGAAGGGCCCTCACGCTCCGCAGCGGGCCAGCTAGAGCCGCTGCCACAGCAAGCCCAGGGGGCTCCGTGGAGCTCACACAGCCGAAGCCACAGCTTCCCGTGGCCCAGGGTGATGCCCGAGAGGTGGGGGAATAGACAGAGCTAGCTGGGGAGGGGGGCTCCATGTCTCCCCATCTAGACAAGTGGGGAGTTCACCCAAAGGGCCAACGGCTGGCAGGGTGTCAGATTTCCCACCACACCCAGCGCGGGGCCTCCGCTGTCATTTCTCCCCCTTGGTTTTCATCTTCTAAGGGTAGAAGGAGTGTCATCTCCTCTCCACTTGTCAGTCTCACACCTGCCGGGAGGCCCGGGTGGTGGTGAGACAGAGGTGCCGTCCAGCCTGATGTCATTCCTGTTTATTGTCTGTTTTAGAAACCAGGTAGCAGGAGGGACTTTCTGAGGATTAAGAAAGAGAATAAATCCCCAAACTATTCCAGGGAGGTTTTTTCCTTTCTCTCTTTCTTAATCTCTCTTTTTAATAAAAATAACACAATTTGTAAACAAAATCATAAGAGGGAGAGGAAGGTGGGATCCCCCAAAGAGGGATGTTTCTTTTCCCCGTGATAGTTTTTTGATACCTGTTTGAGCGACTTATCCTGAGAGATGTACCCCAGGGCCATGTAGGCGTCTGGTGACACCGGAAGTGGGGAAGCCTGTCAACAGTCACAGGACTCCGTTTACCTACTTTCAGCCTCTGCCCTTCCCAGAAGTGATGAAGCCAACTTATTGCCTCACAGTTGTCTCCTTTAGCTCATCAGATCTGGAACTTTCCACTGCTAGTCTGTGCGCCCAAACGGGGTTGGGAAGGTGTGAGAGCACTTTTTATTTAGGGTAAAGGTTAAAGGTGACACAGATCTCTCTCCTTCCCCCTCTCTCCCCCGT